AAACACTATAAGGAAGACTATATGTACCCACCACCACCCCTTCCAGCTCCTTCAAAAAGGAAAACAAATCTGAAAAGAATACAGGAAAATAGGAGAGGCTAGAGATAACTTCTCATCAGCCTCTCTCCGGTAAGATCCCAAGGAGAGGACTCCAATTACCTCTTACTGTACTGTCCCTCCTAGAAGCATCCTTGCAATGACGCAGTAAGACAGCAAAGAAAGAGGCTGGGCAAAGAGGTTGGGAAGGGTAGAAAGCTTGCAGAGAGCAGGTGCAGGGAAGTGCAGTGACCTAGGGACGAAACCTATGTGTAGAATTCCTAAGGGATCAAGTTCACAGGACAGTCACCCAACAGCACCCCATGGTGGCAGATTGGGGTCTTAATGGAACTCTGGGAGGATCTATACCTCCCAGTGTGAGGAGTGGTATGAAACCAGGAGAACTTGAGATCCCACAAGACTCCCAGATACACACCAAAGCCAGCCCTTCCTCAAAGGGCAAGAGAGGGGGAAGGGGTCTGAGAGCTTGCTGGAGCAGTACTAGGCTGGCTTGAGGTAGGAAAACATTCAAACAGCACTGAGCAGTAGGGTTTGGACAAAACCTAGCTCAACAAGAAGCCTGCTGGGGCCCCATCATCTTGGAAGAGCCAGAGGGGAGGAACGGAAAGAGCTGCAACCTTGAATCAGCAGACATGCACAGGACCCAGTTCAGGAGAAGCCTAACAGGGTCCCAGATGTGACCAACTCTAACTGCCTATAAGGCTCCTGCAGCCACTCTAAGGATGACTCCCACAAAAATATAGATAAGTTAAAGTTAGACAGATCTCTCCTCCTCACAGATGCCATGGGAACTGTTTGGAGGGTCAAGGCACGTCCCCCATCAAATCTGGTGTAAACTTCAGGATTTTGGCTCTCCCACACCTACAGGGATTCAAGGCTCACCCAGCAACCACACCAGATTACAATCAAATAAAGCAGGAAAACAAGACCAGATGTCCAAAGCAATTAGCTAGTAAGTCCCTGCTCCTACAACCAGCAGCAGCAGCAGTAGTGCCTTTTTTCTTTGTTAGTTTCCTAAACCTGAAGAAACACCAGGTGTTGAGGAAACATACTGCATTATTATTTCTCATTAATAACAAGGTTTCTATCTGTGTTACAGATTTTCCTGCTCTTTTTTTCCCTCTTCTCTTTCCTTCGTTTTTTGACTGTTTTTTCTACTTTTCTTCATAAATCACTGAAACAATAATCATGACATTGGTGTTTTTATTTTTCATTCCCTTTCATGATCTGTTTTGTTCTGTTTCATTCTGGGATAGAGAACCTTGCTCTGAGGCCTGGGCTGAAGTGTCACAGCATTGGCTTGGCACATAGAGGTCTTAAATCCCAGGGCTAGGTGTCCTTCCTGCTTTGGCTTCCCGACAGACTGCATTTGCAGGTCCCTGCAGTGGCTAGTTTCACACAATAATTGATAGTGGCAGAGTCTGGCTCTTGATCAGGCCAATAAGGAGCATCTAACCTCTGGAAACCCTCTCGCCCCGGCCCACCAGAATGCTGGGATTGCAGGTGTATGTCACTGTACCCTGCCTAATACCATTATTATCACTATTTTTCTCTTTCCCTATTTCTTCTCTCCTTTTTAAAAAATTTTATTATTTTTTTTGGTCCTTCCCTGCTCTCTTCTCTCCTTTTCATCCTGATGCCAAAAGGCTACTTCAACACCCAAGCACAGAGACAGGAAAAGATGGAGGAATAGGAAAGACAGAAATAGGAGAAGTAAACAAGAAGAAAACACACATAAGGAAGGAAAAAAAATTCAGGCAACATGAAAAACCAGAATAGATCAAACCCATGCCCAAAGGAAAATGAGACCACTATCAGAGAGGATCCCAATTATAAAAAAACTGCTGAAATGACAGAAAGGGAGCTTACAGTATGGATAACAAAAACAATGAAGGGAATTGAAGGGAAAGTGGAAAACCACCAAAAGGAAATCCAAAAGTTGACATAAGAAATGAATGAAAGGGCTCGGCGCCTATAGCTCAACCGGCTAAAGCACCAGCCACGTACACCTAAGGTGGCGGGTTCGAATCCCCAGCCCGGACCCGCCAAAACAACAATGACGGCTGCAACCAAAAAATAGCCGGGCGTTGTG